TAAAAAAAACCAAAACAAAACCCCAAACCCATTGATGGTGCGCAGCTCCTAGCAACCTACAAGACAGAGGAGAATTGCCCCACTGGAGTGGTGCCTCAGGGTCTGCAGTTCAAACTCACCAGTCACTCCTCAGAAACCCTATATGGGGCGCTCTGAGTCAGAACCAGCACTTACCAACAACAACAATCTTTATGAAAGAAACCATGGTGCCAACTCATAAGGAACCTGTATAGGGTTTCAGGCTTCCAAGGCTTTTAAATCTTTGTAAGGGCAGAAAGCCTCATCTGTCTCCAGCAGAGCAGCTGGTGGGCTTGAACTGTGGACCTTGTAGTTCGTAATCCAGTGCTCTCCATATGAAGCCACCATGGTTGAAATGCTCAGTTACTCATGGGGAAGTTCAGTGATTCACACTCACCAGTCACACCCAGGGAGAAAGATGTGGCTGTTTCCTTCCACAAAGTTTTACGGCCTTGGCAACCCTATGAAGCAGTTCTGCTTTGCCCGGTAGGGGGACGATGAGTCAGAATCGGCTCTACAGCAATGGTGGTGAAATCTTCAGGGCATCCTGGGGAACCATTAGTGGGTGTGACATCTTTTCTGCTAGCAGGTGAGCACTTAACCACTGCACCACCAGGTCTTATTAGTGGTGGAAGAGAAAACAGCCAATTTAACAGCAGGTAAAATGTAGTGTAAAAGTCCTGGAGACAGGCAGAAGCCTAGGGCTGGTTTGTGCTCTGTGTGTCAAAGACTCAGGCTCTGCTCCTGTTGTTCTACCCACTTCATGTAGTGCTTCCTGATCCAAAATGGATGTTGGGGTTCCAGCAATCAGGTCCAAATTCAAGCTAGCACGAAGGAGGGATTGAAGGTATGATCTCCCTTTAAGGACATCACCGTGGGAGTTGCACTAAATACTTTTACTTACATCCTATTAGCCATAGCTGAATGGAGATGAAAATGTATTCCTTATTCTAAGTGGCCAATGCTCACCTAAAAACCTCAGGTCGTAATCTTAGGTAAAAAGGGGAGAACAAAAGAACAAACAGATCTGTGTTGAAAGAAGTACAGCCAGAGTGCTCCTTGGAAGCCAAGGTGACCAGACTTCATCTTTATACTTCGGATATATTGTCAGGAGGGACCAGTCACTGGAGAATGGGATCATGTTTGGTAAAGTGAAGGGTCGGAGAAAAAGAGGAAGACCTCCAGCTCAGTGGGAGCAGCAATGCGCTCAAATGCAGCAGTGGTTGTGAGGTTGGCCCAGGACCGGCCACTGTTTTGTTCTGTTGCGCATACGGTGGCTATGATTTGGTGCCGACCCAATGGCACCTAACAACAAGAGATTGAGAGACAATCATCCACCTGTGCTAGGTGGGGCTTATATAGAGAGAGTTCTTCAGAATAGGATACCTGCTCACCTCACCAGTTGTATTTCCTGAAACTTTTCCCACTTTCCTGCCACCACACTCGTGCCCCAATTGCAGCTTGTTCTTTTGCCCCTTCCCTCTCTCTAACAACAACAACAACAACAACAACAACAACAAAAATAGTGGTTGTGGGATCACAGCAATCCAATGTGTGTTTGAATAGAACTGTGCTCCATAGGTTTCTTTTTTCCTGTTTTGGCAACAGCTGTATTGATATATAATCCACATGCCATACAATCCTTCCATTGTTGTTACGTGCCATCACTCATACTGATCCAACTCATAGTCATCCCTGTACAGGGTTTCCAAGGAGCCGCTGGTAAGCTTGAGCCACCAACCCTATGGTTCAAACCGACCTTATGGTCCAATGCTGATTCTACAATGCCACACCAGGACAACATCCATCCATTAAAAGTGTATAATTCATTGGTTTTTAGTGTAGTTACAGAGTCATGCAGCCATCCTCACCATTTTAGAACATCTGTTGTCACCTAAAAAAACAAAACAAAACCTATATCCTATAGTTGTTGTGTGCCGTGGAGTCGGTTCCGACTCATAGCGACCCTGTACAGGGTTTCCGAGGCTGTAAATCTTTACGGGAGCAGAACGCCTCATCTTTCTCCCGCGAAGCAACTGGTAGTTTAGTTTCGAACTGCTGGCCTTGCGGTTCGCAGCCTAATTCGTAACCACTACGCTACCAGAACTCCTTTACTTTTTACATCTCCCAGCCCTAAGAAACCACGAATCTGCTTTCTGTTTTGCTTAAAACCTAAATTCTAAACTCCTTGTCATTGTGTTGATTCCAACTTTTAAGATTTCCCTATTTTAAATATCTCATATAAATGAAATGACACCGTGTATGATCTCTGTGACTGGTTTCTGTCACTTAGCATAATGTTCAGTTTTCATAGGGTTTCAATGACTGATTTTTCAGAAGTAGACCACCAACCAGGCCTTTCTACCAAGGTACTGCTGGGTGAACTTAAACCTCCAATCTTTTGATTAGCGGAGATTGCTCCATATAGGAACTCCTCCCTCTCCCTAGAACAATGGTGATTTGACCACCAGCAGCAACCTCACCAAGGAACTTATTAGAAATGCAGATTCTCAGGCCACATCCCAGACTTACTGAATCAGATGCTCTGAGGATGTGGCCCAGAAATGTGTATATCAACAAGAGATGATTCCGACTCACATTCAAGTTTGAGAACCACTGGCCTAGAATATACTTTTTCATATCACCTGGCTAACTCCAGATTTCCTTCAGGTTTTTCAGTCTGAGATAGAAGCCTCTATAGGCCCCCATCCCTTGTCTCCTAGCCCCCTATATTAGCAGTGATCACGCTATACATGGTTTTATGATTACTTGTCTACCCACAAGGACTGAAAGATCGCAAGGGCCAAAAAGCTGTCAGAAATATCTCTTTTCCCTGTACCCACCTAGGGCTAGGCACAAGATAGCTTAATGGATGAATAAGATTGCATCTCAGTAGCATCTTGGAATGTACTAGAAGCACGAATTAAGATGGGTTGTTTTCTTTACTGTGATTTTAAAGAACAAGCTGTGCTTCTAAACAGTTTCTTCAAATGCAAAAATTTTGCGTAGGAAATATACTCATATAGTTTAAAATTCGAAAAGTATAAAAGTAAAAATCTCCTTCCAACCTTGTAGTGTATCCTTCCAGAAAGAACTTATGCATGTACAAGGGGGCTTCAGAAAATTTGAGGAGAAATGGAATGAAAAGATCATGGAATTTTTCCACGAATTTTTAGAAGCCTCCACATAGAAGCATGTTTTTCTTTATTATTTTTTTCTTAATGTAAGAGTATTACATACGCTTCTGCCTATAACTGATTGGAATACAATGGGGCTACAACGTGTCCAGTGAAGGAGGTTTCCTGCGGAGCCTCTGCATTACTTAAGACTATAGGTGGAATCCTGAACAGCATCCAGAATCTTCTGAGGTGGGAAATTTCCACTTGAAAGGACAAGCCGACCAGCCTGGAGCGACTAGAAGAACAGAAGGAAACTTCTTGAAAGAAAGACCGGACAGGAGAAATACAAAACAATAAAGGCAGTCCTATTGATTACTACAAGAACAAGCAACTTGCTTGCTCAGGAAACATCAAGGCAAGTGGTTGGGTCCCCTCAGGGCAAACCCCCTTCCAAGATAAGACTCAATGGGAGTATACGCTCTGATTGGTAACCACATTCCGATAAGGGGAAGTGAGGGAAAAACAGCAGTGAAGCTGCGAGCTAAGTCCTACAACGTTCAATAGAGTCTTGTGAATCTGGGTGGAGACCTGGTTGGCCAGCAATGTGGCAAGACCTGGGGACTCTTTGGCCCAGAGTCAGTGACATAGCCACAGAGGAGTAGAGTGGAGAGTGAAGTGTCCAGCTGATAAGAAGAGAGGGCATATGCATAAGAACACCCACACTTGCAGATAATACCCACTTGACCTGGCTTCAATGACTGGATGATCAGAGCTCAACTAGAAGAAGAAAGAAGAGGAAAAAAGTAATCTGATACAATTTGATGAACTTGACCTACACCTATGGATGCAGTAGCTCAAAAAAGGGAACAAATTTTTACAGCGAGGATCATTCCCACCCCTCCATACACAGAGTAGACAGGGATAGACAACTTGGACATTGGCTACCCAAAATGGGGGTGGGGAGCTACCAAGGCAAGAGTGACTGGCTTACAAGCTTTCAAGAGGGGGCCTAGATCCAGAGGGCCTGGAGGAAGGTAGAATCTCCACTGAGTAATATCCAATCTGTCTAGGCAGAGCTGATGAAAGGAGATTCAGATAGGTCTCTTATGATACAACAGTGAGTAATTGTTATCAGGACTAATTATGAGGGTTGTAAATGTAAAGGTAGATGTTTTGTAGCAAGGAGGAGAATGATTAACTTTACAGCCTAGGAGCGAAGTCCCTGGGACCATCAAGGGAGAAGAACGGAGAGTGGGGCCCTACCCAGAGAAGCAGTGACGCCAGAGATGGAGGCAGAGATGATGACGTGGAGAGATGGAGTGGCTGGGGACTCTAGACCGAGAGAGGGAGAGGGCCTATGTGCTGACGACCAACCCTTTGCTTGGTTGATGATGCATGGAGGGGATTGTAACCATGGCAGTGAAAGGATATACGATAGGATGAATGTAAAGCTAATGTTCTCCCATGTAAACTATCACATAATTCACAATAAAACATAAAAAAAGAGAGTATTACTTAGATGTAGTTCTGTGTTTTGCTTTTTTTTTTTTTCCAGATTATACCTTGGAAATGAGTCCACATCAGTATGCAGTTTCCTGGTCTTTTTTCAGAGCTGCATAGTATTCCACTCTGCTAGCCATTTGGGCATTTCCTATCTTCTACTATTAGCCACAAGGCTCTAGTGCACAGCTTTCCATGTCGTTGGGTATTTGTGGGCAGTTTAAGTACGATTGTAAAGGACGTTTGCATTTGTCATTTTTGAGACACACCCTCTGTTGAGGCTGTGCCAGTGTACCACTCTTCCAGCAGGGGAGGATAGTAGTCACCAACAACTTCACCTGAACCCCTTCCTCTTCTTTCTAGATGCGAGCCTCCCCTCTGGCTGCTCCTGCAGGTGCCCCCTCCAGGAAGAAGCGGCTAGAGTTGGACAGTGACCTAGATGCAGACTGTCCCACCCAGAAGCGAACTCGAAGTCAGCCCCAGCCCTGGCTAACCCCCTGCCTGCTGCCCCCAAGTCCACTCCGTGCCCCTGATCTTGTACTTGCTGAGGCCACTGGCTCCCGATTTGGGCCCTATATCCTCCTGGAGCCCGAGGAAGGCGGGCGGGCCTTCCGTGCCCTGCACTGCCCCACCGGCACCGAGTACACCTGCAAGGTATGTCCCCAGGACCCAATCTCTCCTACATCACAGGGGTTTGTCAGGGGCATGGTGGGCTATGCTGCAGAGCAGGAGTAAGGAAGATGGAGATCATGCAGGTTTACAAGGGAAGGGTTCCCCTGGGAATGTTCAGGCAACTTTAGCCTCCAATAAGGGAGCATCTCCCACTGATGGGGGTGTAGTGGGTTAGGTGGCAATCAGGCAGATGGCCCAGCCACCAGCTTTTCCTGCAGCGTCACTAGGCAGAGGAGGAACAACCAAAACAGGTATGAGGCAGAAGGACTGTGTCTTCATGAAGCCCCTCTTCCTCAGAAACCTTTAGGGATCTCCTGGGGTGTGCTCATCCCTATGTTAGCATAAACCATAGGGGCTGAATTACCACCCCCAGGTCTCCTGGGGTGTTCTGGCCAGTGGGCAGAAAGATCAACATCACACCTCTGTAGATTATCACTGTTCTCATGGGTTCAACAAGTTTTCACTATGTAAGCAGTCACCAGGCTACAATTATAACTCACTGAACTGAATTCCCAGTGAGGAGACAGACAACACAACTGGCTAAGTAAGATCTGTGTCAGGTGATCTGAAGTGCTGTGGAGAAAAATAAGACTGAGAACAGGGTGAGGGGCAGGAAGGGCAGGGCCATATCTAGGGCAGTCCGGGAAGACCTCTCTGAGGAGATGCCAGATGAGTGGCGTCCTGCATGAATTTAAGAGGATGGCCATGTGGGTACCCAGTGGCAGTAAAAAATGCATGGAGGATGACAAGCTTGCCAATCTAAAAAAAAAAAAAAGGTCTCTATTTCACCCCAACTCTTTGTTTTTAAGCGTCTACTTTAAACAACGAAAACATGTGCTAAATATGTATATACTTTGTTTTTCTCTGCAGCATTATAACCAAAAGAACATGCAAAGGGTTTAAAGTCTGAGTGTGTATCCTAGTTGTGCTACTGATTTAGCTGTATAGCTTCCTTCACTGAGTTACAGTTCTGCCATCTGTAAAATGGGGACACACCTTTCAAAGCTATTGAAGTTTTATCTAATGTCCACAGACTCCTAGCACATTTCCCGCCAACTTGGGCACCTTCACATATGCCCTGCTTCCACTCCCCACTCACTCTCAGCCACCCTGGAAGGTCTTCAGCTGGGTGTCTAGAACAAGTCCAGCTCTTTTTACCATATGGCTTTTTTACAGCCTTTGCCCTCCACTTGGAAAGCTCCCATGAGCATTTCCACATCACTTATCCAGAGTTCCTTTTGGGCTACACTTTCCAAAACCAGTACCCCCTTTCAAAATACCCTCTGGGCCAGCATCTTACTTGGTTCCTTGCAATGTTCAACATTTGTAAATACGTATTCCGTTGGCTTGTCTCCTGTCTCCTGTATTAGATTGCAGGCACTAGGAGCGCAGGAGCTGAGGCTATTGGTCAACTTTCCTCCCCAGTGATAGGCACTTGTGCCTACGCACAGGATGAATGAATGGCTGGCTGGGCAGTGAGAGAGAGCTTTAATGTTCAGTGACACTGAGCATGAAGTAACTTCTGGTGTTTGTTTGTTTTTTTCGCTCTTCTGAATTTTCCCAGATTGGAGAGCTACTTTTCTTTTTGGGTTACCTATTGTTTTATAATTACTTGAAGTTTAAGGCTATATAGGGTGGTAGTTATAAGATGCTCTGGTGGAGTTCTAAGGTAGGCATTGGGCTACTAACCAGCAAGGTTGGCAGTTCAAACCTACCTGCTATCCCACGGGACAAAGTTGATACTGTCTGCTCCACAAAGATTTAGTCTCTGAAACTCTACATGGGGTTGCTATGAGTTGGAATCCACTCACTGGCAATGGGCTGTTTGGGGTTTCAGGTAGTACATAGAGTACAAACGGTAAGTTCGAATCCTGACAGTCACTTACTGTCTGTGTAAGTCTCAGCTTCTGTGAATATGGACATGGTACTTGTCTTACAGAGCTATTGTGGCTCGGTCCACTGACGTGCTTGGCACAGTGCCTAGCCTGCAGTAGGTGTCTGAAAGCTTGGTTGTGTTCCCAAGCCCATCTGAGGTTCCACGGATCCTCACCTCTGCTCACGCCCAGCTCTGTCCACAGGTGTACTCAGCCAGCGAGGCCATGGCTGTGCAGGAACCTTATGCGAGGCTGCCCCCTCATGAGCACGTGGCACGACCTGCCGAGGTCCTGATGGGCACCCAACTCCTCTACGCCTTTTTTGCACGAACCCATGGGGACATGCACAGCCTGGTGCGTCACCGCCGCCGGCTCCCTGAGCCCCAGGCCGCCATGCTCTTCCGTCAGATGGTCGCTGGGCTGGCCCACTGCCACCAGCATGGTCTCGTCCTGCGGGATCTCAAATTGCATCGCTTTGTCTTCACCAACCGTGAGAGGTGAGTGTCGCCACAGAGACCAAGCCACCAGCATGCCAAAGAGGTGGCCCAGGAAGGCAAAGCAATTTATGCAAAAAGTGGAGAAGCGGGACTCGAACCTAGTTCCTTGGGAATCGTTGCTGCTTGGGCACTGTGATCCTAATGGTAGCTGACAGTACTGAAGAGCAGAGCCACCCTCTCTGATTGACATACTGTTCTTGCCCCCATATGACAGATGAGGAAACCAAGACCCAGAGAGGCTAAGTAATCTGCCCAAGATCCCAAAGCTAAATGATAGAACTGGGATTCTAATCCAGGGCATGGGCCCTGATCCACACTGAGCTTGAGAGACAAGGGGACTGGATGCCTGACTGGGCTCTCTGCTGACTCTGAGTTACTCAGTTTCCCCATTTGCAGGGGAAAGGTTGGGGTTTCCAGGATTTTAAGTCCACAGACAACGACAACTAGAATGGGCAGAGGTTCCAACCCTCATGGAAACTTTCTGTAAAGCTGAGATCAATGGTTTTTCATTAGACAAGGACATCCCACACTGCTTCCTGCAGGTGGTGGTGGTGGGGAGCTGGCATTAGGCCCACTCCCCAGACTCTGGGATGTTCCGGATGTGTCAGAGCTGCCAGGGCACCGTCACATGTCAGGTTTCTTCTGCAGGGCCAGGAGGGCAACCCAGTTGCATTTTAAAAACTTTTTATTTAGAAAAAGTTGTAGACATAATTCTAAATAGTTGCAAAAGGAGCTCAGAGTTCCCACATATCCTTCACTGAGTTCCCCTAATGTGACCATTTTACACCACCATAATGCAGTGATCAAAACTAAGACACTTGGCACAATGCTATTAAATGATTAAGCACTCAGTTGTTAACCAAGAGATCAGCGGTTCACACCAACCAGCTGCTCCTCCAGAAAAAAGATCTAGTGATCTGCTCCTAGGAAACCTCGTGGAGCACTTTCCCTTGTCCTACAGGGTTGCTATGAATTAGAATTGACTTGATGGCTCACAACAACTATATAATACTATTAACTAAACCACAGACTACTCAGATTTCCCTAGTTTCCTTTTCTATCCAGGATCCCAATGTGCAGTTTGCTGTTGTGTCTCCTGAACCCTTTAATGACTGAATTATTTTTTTTGCTCTAATTTTTGTTGTTGATACCACATGTTTTCAGTAATGGAAAGCATTCTGAAAAAAAGGGGAAAGAAGTTTTCTTTGCGGTAATATGAATTTTGGTCCTGGTGTGGTGCTGTAGGGTAATGCACTGGACTACAAAGTTGGTTTGAACCTACAAGGTTGGCAGTTCAAACTCACCAGTCGCTCCTTGGAAACTCTATACAGGGTCACTATAAGTCAGAACCAACACGACAGGCAGTTAACTACAAGAAGGTAGTACACATACGAGGGGGCTTCAGAAAGCTCAGGCTTTCATTCCCCAGAGGACTAGAATGGAGTGTGAAGTGTCCAGCTGATATGAAGTGAGGGGAGATGCACAAGAACACCCACACTTGCAGATAGTACCCATTTGACCTGGTATCAATGGGTGGATGATCAGAACACGAATAGAGGAAGAAAGAAGAGGAGAGAAAAAAAAAAAAGGATGAACCCACTATAAGTGGATGATCTTGACCTATGCTTATGGATGCAGTATTACAAAGGAGCGGACAAATCTCTACTGTGAGGATCATTCCCACCCCCTTGATACACAGGATCAACAGGGAAGGGGAACTTAGACATTGGCTACCCAAAATGGGGGGACTATAAAGGCAAGAAGTGACTGGCTTACTAGCTTTCAATAGGGAACCTAGCTCCAGAGAATACAGGGAAAGATAGAAACTCCACTGAATTGTTTCCAACCTGTCTGGATGGGGTTGATAAAGGAGAGGGGGGAAAGGACTCCTGTGGTTCAATAGGGAATGATTGCTATCAGGTCTGACAGTAAGTGGTGGAAAGGTAAATGTAAATGTTTGATAACAAAGGGAGGAGACTGATTTTGCAGTCCAGGAGAGGAGATCCCTGGAACCCATAAAGGGAGAAAAGTGAAGTGTAAGACCCTGTCCGGAGACGCGGTTACATTAGGGATGGAGGCAGACGCAATGACGCAGACAGAAGGAGCAGCTGGGGACTCTGGACTCAGGGAGGGAGAGGGGCTGTGTGCTGGTGCCCGGGGGTGGGGTGGGGGGTAGGAATGTGGGGTGTACCCTTTGATTATTTGGTGATGCATGCAGGGGATTATGATCATTGCAATGAAACAAAATACGATAGGATGAATGTAAAGATAATGTTCACCCATGTAAACTAACACATAATTCACAATAAAACTTTAAAGGAAAAAGAATAGCCCCAAATGGTGATGTACTCATCTCAGCACCTCACCTCAGGACATATGTGACATGTCTCATGATGGTGATGTCAACCTTGATCTCTTGTTAAGATGACATCTGCCAGTTTCTCCATTTAACAGAAAGTTTCCTTTGTAAATAATAAATAAAGACCTGGGGTGGTACAACCTAACCTAAATTTGGTGGTTTGAATCCACCCAGCAGTGCTACAAAAGGCAGGACTGGAGCTCTGCTTCTCTAAAGATTCCAGCCAAGAAAACCCAATGGAGCACTGTTCTACTATCAGACAGAGGGTTGCCGGGAGTCATTAGTGACTCAATGGCAAAGCATTGGGTTTTGGTTTTTAATTACGAAGTCTCTTCGGGGGAGTTACTTTGGGGCTGCTGTTTCTTTTCAGACTTGTGGCCTCTAATTCTGGTAGTCGAGCATCTTGCCTGCAGCAGCCATTCCTGCCTAGTGGTGGTCTCACGTTTCCTTCTCTCTTTCTTGCATTGCATTTTAGATGAAAACAAACATAAGATGTAGAATGTAAAATTTAGAATGATCTTTAAATTAATACACATCTTCAAGTAAAGTTTGAACTTAGGGTTAGTACAGCACCCCCAGAGCTCCTGGAGGTGAGAACATGCTTCCTTTTCTTCTCAAGGTTAATAGTTTGAGAGGTACTGTAAGTAGAAGAGGAACTATGGAGTCACACAGACTAGGGTTCGACTCCTGGTTCTGCTTCTTACCTGCTCTGTAGCCTTGAGCTCTGGCTTCCCCTGCCTGAGCTTTCTTCATCTGTAAAATGGACCCACAATACTGCCACCACAGTGCTGTGACTCATGGGATTAGCTAATGTTTGCAAAATATTAGTAAGCACCAGCAAGTAGGTGCTGTCAAGTGGTAACAATGTGGGGTTCCTGATAGGACCTGACCTCTGTGCTTTTCCCCTGGCCTCAGGACTAAGCTGGTGCTGGAGAACCTGGAGGATGCATGTGTGCTGACCGGGCCAGATGACAGTTTGTGGGACAAGCATGCCTGCCCAGCCTATGTGGGTCCTGAGATCCTCAGCTCCCGGGCATCCTACTCCGGCAAGGCAGCAGATGTCTGGAGCCTGGGTGTGGCGCTCTTCACCATGCTGGCCGGCCACTACCCCTTCCAGGACTCAGAGCCTGCCCTGCTCTTTGGCAAGATCCGCCGCGGGGCCTTTGCTCTGCCTGAGGGCCTCTCTGCCCAGGCCAGGTGCCTGGTCCGCTGCCTCCTTCGAAGGGAGCCAGCTGAGCGGCTCACTGCCATGGGCATCTTGATGCATCCCTGGCTGCGGGAAGGCCCTCACCCTCTAGCCTCTTCCCAGCCCCACCCCCGGGAGGCTGACCAGGTGGTCCCTGATGGGCTGGGGCCTGAGGAGACTGAGGAAGAGGAGGGAGACAGGGAAGTGGGTCTGTACAGCTAGGACCATCCTATTAGACTCAACGGCCAATAGTGGACTGACTCGGGTGTCTCCTAGCTTTCTCTGTTCTCTGTGAACTAAGCCACACCCTAAGTGCCTTCTAGGAGGTAGGAGGAGGCATGTACAGAGCGTGCTATTTGCACACCTGTGGTATCCACACACCTGTGCACACAGGCTTGGGGATGTCCGTCTTGGATGCTTGCTATGTGCCAAGCTCTGTTCTGGGCACTGAGAGCACAGCAGTCAAAAAAGCAATAAAATCTTCCTCATCACAGAGCTAGTGACACCAGCCAGGGTCTGCATGGGACACATGTTTGTGCCTCCATGCGTCAGCACCCACTGGTGCTGGTGATGAGGTGCCTCTGTTCCTTTCATTAATAACTCTCTGCCTTTGTGCCTCACACCTTGTTCCAAGAAAGAAAAGCATATCTGTGCCAAAGGCCTCCAGAGTTCAAGGCTTGCTGGGAATTATTCCCAGCTGCTGTCATTTCTTGATCTAGAGATCCTTTTTCTAGACCTAAGTCATGGATGTGGGCCAGAAGACCAAGAATCCAAGCCATGGGGCTGGACCTTATTTAACTCAGGGAATGGCCTAGAATGAGGGTTCAGGCCTATCCACCTGGGTTGGGGGGTAGGTGATGAGGCAGGGGTGTGCCCTCTGGCCACCTGGGAAAAGTCAAGCTCCATTCTGGGGATCCCACTTTAACACTATGGATTTGGGATACCATGAGTATCTATTTCTACCTAGTGCTTTAATAAAAGAATCGTAAAACCTTTTGTTTCTCTAGATTTGGATTATGTAGATTTTGTCTATCCTTCCTTCTCTATTTCTGCCTCTAAAACAGTATCCATGGTGAGCAGATAGAAAGCTGGTTGTCGGCCTCAGCTGAGTGGTGTGTGAGCACGTTCCCGGTAGCCAGGTAAGTCAAGCTACACTTTCATCCTTTCTTCTCGAAGCAGTGGTACCTCAGGTGGATACTTTTTGGCTGCAAGCCACAGAAGCTCTGACTCAAAGTGGTTTAAACAAGAAGACAATGAATTTTCACACACAAGTAGATAGGCGGGCTCTCAGAGGTGGGAGCAAGGACTCTGATCTCCAGGCCCTTCCTGTTTCTTTGCTCTGTTGCCATGGTGATGGTGACGTGGTCCAAAGCATCACAATGGGGGGATGATGCCAGAGGAAGACTTGCTTGGCTGGCCCCCCGAAGTCATGAGCTAAATAAAATAATTGTTGTCAGTCACAGAGTTCGGGGCTAACTGATACAGAGAGGGACAAGTCAGCCTCATTCTGTGTCCAGACTGCCCAGATCATGGTCCAGCTCACAATGGTGACTTTAAATGAATTAAGTAACCATTGTGTATAGGGTCTCATGTGGCATCCCTTGCCGTCTACTCTGCCCTGACCTCCCTCACACACAGACTGTCCTTACTTGCACCAGTGGAGCAAGAGAAAGCAAACGAACAAAATGAAGACTGCCAAGGAGCAGAGGAATTCATTTCATCTTCCTAACAGCCCTAGGCACCAGGTGCGTGGTCTGCTTTGTTTTACAGATAAAAATAATGAGGTTTCCAGGGAGCAGGAACTCTTCCAACGTCTCAACAGAGAACAAGGCTCACCTGAATTAATTCAGACGCAGCCATATGGAAACTGCCTAGGCGAACAGCAAAATACATTTCCCTTCTTACCTAGTGATGGATAGAGTCTCACCCATGGCACCAATTAGTGGGGGTCTTTCATGTTCATTTCAGATTCATTTACTCATTATTGTATAAGAGCTTTACAACACCAAATGTAATAGAATGCATTACTGCAAGGGACTATTGTGAAACACTTAGTTCAGGGTTTGGAAAACTAATACATTGTGGTCTGCTCAATTCACTTAGTGATTCAACTGCTACTATTAGATGTCTACCACCAGCTGCTCCTCGGAAACCCTCTACAGGGTTGCTATGAGTTGAAACTGACTTGACAGCACTTAACAACAACTATAGGCCAGGACCCATGAAAGTCAGACAACATGGCCTTTGCCCACAAAGACTCACAGTCTAATAAAGGGGAAAATAAATAAAGGAGAGAGATGTTAAATTTTTTTTTATTATTCTGTGGCAAAGACAGGCATCACCAAATATACCACTTGCTCCATAAAGTGCTCAACCATAACATCGGTTTGAACTGCAAGGTAGGTAGTTCAAACCTACCAGCCACTCCTCGGAAACCCTATTCAGGGTCGGTATGGGTCAGAAAAGACTCGACAGCACTTAACAATAACAACAACTTGCAGTTATAGTTGTAACAACAACTAGTCACGTGACTAGTTCTGACCCATGGTATGTGACTAGAAGTGATGCGGAGAAGGGAAGAGTCACTTCTGGGCTGAAGCTGACTCCTGAGAGCTGCTAGGCCTCCATCTCTTTCCTTGCCATTGCCACCTGGAGACCATGGCATGTCTTAGCTGCAAGTTGGAGGAGGGCCACTGGATTCATGTGGCAGTGGAGGACCACCACCTCTGTGAGTGGCAATGCCCCACCTCACCCTGGGGCCAGACCTGCATACAATGCACCCTGGCCAGTGGGATTGAAAAAAGGTGCAGCTGTTGTGGAAAACAGTTTTATGGTTCCTCAAAAATGGAAACATAAAATTATGATGGGTTTTGTTGTTATTAAATGCCATCAGTCAGTACCAAGTCAGTGATGCTGTATAGGGCTTCTGAAGAGTAGCTGGTGGGTTTGAAGGACTGACCTTGTGGTTAGCAGTTCAGTGCTTACCTAGAAGTTCCACTTGCAAAGCTGGGCCTCAAACATCAATGTTTACTGAAACCTAAGTCAAAAGGTGAGAAAAAAGCCCCAACAAGTGACTGGATAAACAAAAGATGGTACACACAGAAGACGGGGCTTCAAAAAAGTTTGTAGACAGCAAGGCAGAATCAAGGGACACATGGGCTCAGAGTCAGTGACACAGCCACAGAGGACTAGAGCGGAGAGCGAAGAGACCAGCTGATAAGAAGAGGGCAGACAGACGCAAGAACACCCACACTTGCAGATGATACCCACATGACCTGGCTTCAATGACTGGATGAACAGAACTCAACCAGAGGAAGAAAGAAGAAAAAGGAAAAAAAAAAAAGTGTCATCTGATACAAATTGATGAACTGGACCTACACCTACAACTGCAGTAGCTCAAAAGAGGAAAAAATTCCCGGCTACAAGAATTATCCCCACCCCCTTCACACCGAGTAGAAACGGATGGGCAACTTGAACATTGGCTACCCAAAATGGGGGGAAGGATGCAAAGGTAAGAAGTGACTGGTTTACAAGCTTTCAAGAGGGAACCTAGATCCACAGGGCAGGGAGGATAGTGGAGTCTCTCCAGTGAATAGTACCCAACCTGTCTAGGAAGGGCTGATGAAAAGAAATGCAGACGGGTCTCATGTGATGCAATGGTAAAAATTGTTACCAGGACTGATTGTGAGGACTGGAAATGTAAAGGTGGATATTTTATAGCAAGGAGGGGAGTGACTAACCTTTCAGTCTAGGAGCGGAGGGCCCTGGGACCATCAATGGAGAAGAATGGAGAGAGGGACTCCACCCAGAGAAACAGTGAGGTCTGAGATGAAGACAGAGAGGACAATGTGAAGAGATGGAGTACCTGGGGAGCTGAGACCCAAAGAGGGAAAGGGGCTGGGTGCTGAGGACCGTGGGGGGGGGAGGGGGGAGACATGCAAGGTATACCCTTTCATTGGGGGATGATGCATGGATGGGAGGGTAACTAAGGCAATGAAACGATATAGGATAGAATGAATGTAAAACTAATGTTCCCCCATGTAAACTATCACTTAATACACAAGAAAACATTAAAAAAAAAATAGAGATCAAGCTGAGGAATCCTGTTCTGAGGACACTGAGACTTTTGGATTGGAAAAAGGATATGTTACTGGTAGATGCTGTTGAGTTGATTTCGACTCACAGACACCATGGGACAGAGTCCAACTGCCCCCTCGGGCTTTCTTGCCCACAAGTTTTATGGAAGCTCAGTGCTTGTTTCCCTGCTGAAAGAAAAAATAAGCCCATACATGATGGCTTAAGCAATTAAATTGTGTAGAATCTCAACTGAAGGTGACAACTTCTCCCTAACTGTTTTGAATGGGGATGAACTTACAATGTCTCTTGTCCCATGGAAAACACACACATCTAGGTATCCTGATGGGGTACTGTAGGGTAAGTAAGCATTGCACTGCTAAACCAAAAGGTCAGCAATTCAAGCCCACCAGCCACTCCTCAGTAACCCTACATGGGTTCACTATAAGTCGGAACTTAAAAACAACAACAAATCGTAGTTCTTTGTAAAAACTTTCATCTAATAAAAACATTTGTTGTTGTTAAAAAAAAAAAGTTTGTAGAGAAATGGAATTAAAAGACCATGGAATTTTTCCATGAACTGTTTGAAGCTCCCTTGTACAACAGAATATTCATCAGCCATAAAGAGAAATGAAGTTCTGATACATGCTATGACAAGAACAGTGAAAACATTCTGAGTAAAGGAAGTCAGACACAAAAGAACAGATACTGTGTGGTCCCATTTACATGAAATACACAGATGAGGTTAGTGCATAGAGACCTAAGTTTATTAGTGATTACGAGGCACAGTAAGATGGAGAAAGAGGGAGTTATCGTTTAAGATTTACTGGGTTCCTGTTAAAAGTGAGGGACATGGATAATGATAATGATGCCATGACGTGGTGAACGTAATGTCACTGAATTGTGTGTGTAACTGTAAATGAAATGGGAAACATTATGTATATTTTACCACAATAGAGAGAATTAGTGAGATAGAAATCAGAAACTAATGGCAGATTCAAGAGACTCAGTACATTTCCATACATAGTGAAAATGAAAAAAGTCAAAGAGAGAAAAATATTTTAAAAACCCTTAGAGATAAAAAGAGAGCGAGAGAGATTGCTTCCAAAAGAATTATAGTACAACATGGATAAATGTCCAAAAGAGTA